ACCTTTGAGACCAGATTTTTATCCTGTCTCTACTCTTGCCAACGACTCAGAATGGATCATGTGCTCCTTATGTTGAGTGGACCACATAATTGCTCTCCTGCCTTCTTAAAGAAAAATTATGTTTTTGCCACTAATTTACCAATATGAAACTCATCTCATTACCCTTTCTGGGTCCGAAGCTGCTATGTCTAAAATTGCCATCTCCTTGTACTTTGCAACAGTCTGTGCTGGAGAAATCTTGAATAGCTTATGTACAAGACTTTGAAAATTCTATATTATTTGAAACCTTGCTTCATTTGGTCTGGGGCCCCTGGCCATGAGGGCTCTCTACAGTCTTTGAGCTGGCAGTGTACTAAAAACCTTTTAAAGTTTCTTTCCCTGCCCAGTCCCCACTTTTTGGAGAGGTTTCTCTGAGTGAGGCCTGTTAGGTGTACATCCTGCAGCTTATTGGCTTAAAATGTACTCTCCTTTGGTATGGTCTCTTTGGGGCCAATGGGGAGAAAGAAAACCAGTAGTGCAACTGTTTTGATACTGAATATTGACATGTGTCTTTTTGAAATAAAGAACCAGTCCCTCCAACTCTCAGAGCTATTTGACTTTTATTTATTAAACCAAACGTGCTTTCTCCACAGAAGTATGAGATTTGCATTAAAAAATCAGATCTTGGTTGGTTACAAGTAAGATTCAGTGTAGAGCAAACAATTTAGAAGCAGACCAAAACTGAGTTCAAAACTCACTTCTAAAATTCCTAGTTGTGTGTCTGATATAAATCATTTAGTTTTATCATCTAATGTGGAGATAATATATATTGTCAGGGTAAATGTGAAGAAATAATACTTAAGGCTCAGAACCCACAGTGCAGTGGTTACAGCACCAGCCACATCAAGGCTGGCAGGTTCAAACCCGGCCTGGGCCAGCTAAACAACAATAACTGCAATAAAAAATAGCTGGGCATTGTGGCAGGCAACTGTAGTCACAGCTACTTGCAAAGCTAAAGCGAGAGAATCACTTAAGCCCAAGAGTTTGAGGTTGCTGTGAGCTGTGACGTTACGACACTCTACAAGGGTGACATAGCGAGACTCTGTCTTAAAAAAAAAAAAAGAAAAATAATACTTATAATGACAGGCCTTTTATGGGTTACTTAACACTGGCATCTTCAAGCTAAACCATACTTTTTCCTTTGCAGTCATATTTGTATAAACCATAGATTTATTCTATTACAATCTTTAAACCGGATGTGATATTGATCACATTCCTAGAAATATGTAGTTTTAATGAACTGTCATGAAATAGCCTTTGAATTAATATTCCATTGGATATTTGAAGAAAACAAGTGAATTTAACAAGAAGTGTTCTCAGGATATTAACTTATAGGTGGTGTGTATGAGTGGATAGCTTTCAAAGCTGCCCTTGACAGGCCATCTCTGGCATTCCTGCACTCTGGCCTGGAAGTGAGACATGAGTAACTTCATATAAAAATTACATTGCTTCCTTGATAAAAGTCCAGCTGTTTATGCTAAAGACTGGAAGTTTTTCCATTCATGGGCAAGGACCAATACTGACTGGAAATTACTGCAAAAAAAAAAAAAAAATTCCTTTTTTTGGTCTAGGAGCCAAACATGGTAGGAAATTGGGAATTTTTTTTTTTTTTTTTTTTTTGCAGTTTTTGGCTGGATCCAGGTTTGACCCCACCACCTCTGCTATATGGGGCCGGCGCCCTACTCCTTTGAGCCACAGGCGCCGCCCGGGAAAGATTTTTTTTTAAGCTTTTCTTTTTCCTTTAACCTTAAAAGATATCTGCCATACATGATTTTGGAAAGCTTTTTATTTATTTTTGTTTGAGACAGTTTAACTATGTCGCCCTGGGTAGAATACTGTAGTGTCACAGCTCACAGCAACACCTCAAACTCTTGGGCTTAAGCGATTCTCTTGCTTCAGCCTCCCGAGTAGCAGGGACTACGGGCGCCCGCCACTACACCCAGCTATTTTTTGTTGCAGTTGTCATTGTTGTTTAGCTGGCCTGGGTCGGATTCGAACCCTCCAGCCTTGGTGTGTGTGGCCAGCGTCGTAACCACTGCTACAAGAGCCAAGCCAGGAAAGCATTTTGTTTGTTTGTTTGTTTTGCAGTTTTTGGCCGAGGCTGGGTTTGAACCCTCCACCTCTGGCATATGGGGCTGGTACCCTACTCCTTTGAGCCACAGGCACCGCCCCAGGAAAGCGTTTTAATAGGGTAGCAGGGTTTGTGCCTAAAGTTTCCATAAGGAGGTTTAAAGAAGGGCCTCATAAAAATTTCCCACAATTCCGAGTAAGCCGCAGGGGCCGCCTCCTGATGACGTCGCGCCTGTGGATTGGCTGGTGTGGGGCGGGAGCGGTCGTAGCTGAGCTGCAGCCTGCGACCCGGCAGTTGCCATGTCTGGCTCCAGTGCCCCGGCTAGCCGAGGCTTTGGGCTACTTTTCTCTTTGTCTCTACACCGCCTCTTGTTGATGCTTCTATTTTTGCTTGAGATTTTGGCCAACAAACTTAACGTGCCACAGGTGTTGCTACCCTTCGGCCGAGAGCCAGGCCGGGTGCCCTTCCTCCTGGAGGCGCAGCGGGGCTGCTACACTTGGTGAGGGGCAGGGGGTCACAAGGATATGCACCCCAGCACCACTCAGTAAGGAAGAGAGAGGTTCTTTCTGTAAGAGCCCACAGGAATCCTTTGTGGTCTGTCGGCTATCCTGGGGCGCCCGTGGCTCCGTGGGTAGGGCGCCGGCCATATACACCCAGGCTGGCGAGTTCGAGCTCGGCCCTGGCCTGCTAAACAACAATGACAGCTTGCAAAACAACAACAAAAATAGCCGGGCGTTGTGGCGGGTGCCTGTAGTCCCAGCTACTTGGGAGGCTGAGACAATAGAATCGCTTAAGCCCAAAGAGTTTGAGGTTGCTGTGAGCTGTAATGCTAAGGTATTCTATGGAGAGTGACATAGTTAGACTCTCAAACAAAAAAGGGGAGGGGGGGCTATTGTAGGGAGGAGGGCATTGGAATCAAGGGAGGTACAGGGGCCAGATTCTCCCTGCAAGAAGTGTCCTGCCTCTGTGGGGTATCATCAGGTAGTGTGAGGGACAACGTGGGAGAAATTCTAGGATAAGACTGGCTTTTTCATTTTTTTCTTTTGAGACCTCGTCTTACTTTGTCGCCCTGAGTACAGTGCTGTGGTGTCACAGCTCACAGCAACTTCAAACTCTTTGGGCTCAATTGATTCTCTTGCCTCAGCCTTGCAGTAGCTGGGACTACAGGCGCCCGCCACACACCAGCTATTTTTATTTATTTATTTATTTATTTTTCGGTTTTTGGCCAGGGCTGGGTTTGAACCTGCCACCTCCGGCACATGGGGTCGGCGCCCTACTCCTTTGAGCCACAGGTGCCGCCCGGGCTATTTTTAGAGATGAAGTCTCACTCTGGCCCAGACTGGTCTCAAACTCCTGAGCTTAGGCGATCCACCTGCCTTGGCCTCCCAGAGTGCTGGGATTACAGGCATGAGCCACCCCTCCCTTTTTCACTGTGCATATTGAGAAAGGGTCATCACTGTGAGCAACTAACAGGGCACAGGGAAGCCCACAGGGCACAGGGAAGCCCTGTGCCGGGAGTCTGCAGGTAACGTGAAGGACTTACAAAGTTATCAGCTTGACAGGGAGTTCCCTAAATCTTAGGAAATTTATTTATTTATTTATTTATTTATTTTGAGACAGAGTCTCACTGTATCGCTGCCCTCAGTAGAGTACTATGGCGTCACAGTTCATTAGCAACCTCAAACTCTTGGGCTTAAGTGATTCTCTTGCCTCAGCCTCCCAAGTAGCTGGGACTACAGGTGCCTGTCACGCCAGCTATTTTTTGGTTGCAGTTGTCATCGTTTAGAAGGCCCTGCCAGCCTGCGTGTATGTGGCCAGTGCCCTACTCACTGAGCTATGGGCGCTGAGCCAGGAAATTTCTTTAGGAGCAAAAAGACTTAGGTTGTGACGGTTTCTCCTAACTAAGGTGAGCTGTTTAACAGAAGGAGATTTCTTTTTTTTTTAGTCACCCTTGGTAGAGTGCCATGGTGCCACAGCTCACAGCAACTCCCAACTCCTTGCCTCAGCCTCCCAAGTAGCTGGGACTACAGGCACCAGGCACAATGCCTGGCTGTTGCAGTTTGGCCGGAACTGGGTTCAAACCTGCCACCCCATGGACAGTGTCTGTGGCTCAGTGGATAGGACGTCAGCTCCGTGTGCTGAGGGTGGCAAGTTCAAACCCAGTTCCAGCCAAACTGCAACAAAACATAGCCGGTGTTGTGGTGGGCGCCTGTAGTCCCAGCTACTTGGGAGGCCTAAGCCCAAGAGCTGGAGGTTGCTGTGAGCTGTGATGCCACGGCACTGTACCGAGGGCAATAAAGTAAGATTCTGTCTCAAAAAAAAAAAAAAATCAAACCTGCTGCCCTTGGTATATGGGGCCAGCACCCTACCCACTGAACCACAGGTGCCACCCAAGAGAAGGAGATTTTTTTAAAACACAACAGCAAATTACTAAGTACTTAACTAAGCCTTTCCAAGTATTAATTCTTTCACTTTTTAGTCTTCCAAAATAAGTGCTATTACTCCCATCTTACACATGAAAAAACTAAAGACCAGCGACCAGGAAGTACAAAGTTCTGGGAATGTAAGATTTGTCTTGGGTAGAGATGAGATCTGCCTGTAATATAAAAGTTGCCTCACTTGTATAAGGATACCCACTTGAAGTGTGGGGACAAGGGGTAGATTCCACTCTGTGATAATGACACTTCCTGACTAAAGATGGAAAGACATGATTTTTTTTTTTTTTTTTTTTTTTTTTTTTTTTGAGACAGAGCCTCAAGCTGTCCCCCTGGGCAGAGTGCCGTGGCATCACAGCTCACAGCAACCTCCAACTCCTGGGCTCAAGCGAGTCTCCTGCCTCAGCCTCCCAAGTAGCTGGGACCACAGGCGCCCACCACAACGCCCGGCTATCTTTTGGTTGCAGCCATCATTGCTGTTTGGCGGGTCCGGGCTGGGGATTCGAACCCGCCACCCTAGGTATACGTGGCTGGCGCCTTAGCCAGTTGAGCCATAGGCGCCGAGCCGACATGATTTTTTGGTGTGAGACCCAACCATAGGATTTGTGGTTATTTAAGGTATGAGGTGAACTAATTGAAGTGAACTTCAGGATGCCAGAGAGTTCATCCTAAATAGAGTATATTTCTCTCTACCACATCATAGAGAAGTAATGAGGTTTGTTTATATTTACAATATATATATATATATATATATTTGTTTATATAATGTGAGAATTTTGCCTCCCAAAAAGAATTGGGCTTGTGGGTGGTGCTTATGGCTCAAATGGGTAGGGCACCGGCCCCATATGCCGGAGGTGGTGGGTTCAAACCCAGCCCCAGTCAAAAACACAAAAAAAAAAAAAAAAAAAGAATTGGGCTTTTAAGATGACCCAGTGTGGCTTGGCGCCTGTAGCTCTAGCAGCTAAGGCACCAGCATATACACCAGAGCTGGCAGATTCAAACCCAACCCAGGCCTGCTAAACAACAATGATAACTACAACCAAAAAATAGCCAGGTGTTGTAGTGGGCGCCTGTAGTCCCAGCTACTTGGGAAGCTGAGGCAAGAGAATTGCCTAAGCCCAGGAGTTGGAGGTTGCTGTGAGCTGTGATGCCATTGCGCTCTACCCAGGGTGACAGCTTGAGGGTCTGTCTGAAAAAAAATAAAAGACCCAGTGTGCTATATGGATTTCCTGACTGAAAGGATGATTTAAGGTGTCTTCTTTCTAGCATCAAAAGACCTTCTTTCCATTAATCCAAAAATATTAATTAATTTTTTGGTAATTTTTTCTCTATTTTTTCCCTTAATCCCAATAGGAAACAATTTTTTTTTTTTTTTTGAGGCAGAGTCTCACTCTGTCCCAAGGGTAGAGTGCCCCTGTAAGCATCGTCACTCAACAGCAACCTCAAACTCCTGGGTTCCAATGATCCTCCGCCTCTTGAATACCTGGGACTACAGGTATGTGTCCTAACACCGAGCTAGTGTTAATATTTTCAGTAGGGACAGGATCTCTCTCTTGCTCACGCTGCTCTTGAACTCCTAAGTTGAGGTGTTCTACCCTCCTTGGCCTCCAAAGAGTGCTAGGATTACAGGCATGAGCCACCACACCTATCCCAATTTTTTTGTACTTTGAATTGGATTCATACCTCATAATTTAGGCAGTTTTTCCGTCCTAGATATCAACAGTACAATTTCTAGGATTGAAGGAAACTCATTCCTCAGGGTCTGAGCAAGTCTTGTATCTCATTATTAAAAGCAAAACATCAATCCTATTTTTATATCTGGAGGGACAATGTAACATTAATCTTATTTTAAATATTGAGAGAGGAATATAACACTCTGAGACTGCATAAGAGATCATCGGAGAAAGTTCTCTTTTTTTTTGAGACAAAGTCTCAAGCTGTCACCATGTGACCATGTGTAGAGTACAGTGGCATCACAGCTCATAGCAACCTCCAACTCTTTGGGCGTAAGTGATTCTCTTGCCTCTGCCTGGGACTACAGGCACTCATCACAACATCCAGCTATGTTTTGGTTGTAATTGTCGTTGTTTGGTGGACCCAGGCTGGATTTGAACCCGCCAGCTCTGGTGTATGTTGCTGGCACCCTACCCGCTGAGCTACAGGTGCCAAGCCCATTCAGCAAAGTTCTAATCAATCTCTCCCACTTTAATTCTTGCATTCTTAAGCAAAGTTCCTACTTTTAAAAGTGTCTTTTAGGGCAGTGCCTATGGCTCAAGGAGTAGGGCGTCAGTCCCATATACCAGAGGTGGTGGGTTCAAACCTGGCCCCAGCCAAAAACTGCAAAAATAAAATAAAAATAAAAGTATCTTTTAAGTGTATCTGTTAATATGTAACATGAAAGACGTATAGGAATCTGTGTTCTACCAAAAGTTATCTTTAACCCATGTATTTAATACTTTGAAGTGTTTTGCTCTGGCAGGCATTCCACTCATCATGATGCAGTTACTGTTGAGCCTTTATATGAAAATGGTACCTTGTGTTCCCAAAGAGCTGTACTCATTGCTGAATCTACCCAACCAATACGCCTCAGCAGTATTATTCTTGCTCGAGAAATAGGTAGGTATGTTGATAGCAAAGACATCATGTATCATTTTGTCTGTGGTAGAATAAACTGATAGATTATTAACACATTTGAAGTGTTGGCTTCAAATGTTAAGGTAGAAAGGACTCCTTCAATATAAACCCTAATTGCATCATCTCATTCTGTGACTTTTTTTTTTGTATATCCAGCATCTGATGTGGTATTTGATACCATGGAAACACTAGTTGTTTGAATCAATGAAGGAAGGAAGGAATTATTCATTTTGAACTAACTCAAAGAATTAAGGTCTGAGATTGGTCTGAATGAAACAAGTGTCAGTACAAAGACTACTACTTCTTAGAGTGTAGGCTATGAACATGGATTAGCTGAATCACATGGGAGCTTGTAAGAAAGGTAAATTCTTTGACTCTGTCCTTCACCTTCTACATTAGGATCTCTGGAATGGGTCCAGGGTCCTGTGTTTTAACAAGTTCTCCAGATTTTAATACAGTGTGGACCTAAAATTCATGTGCAATTCAAAATAGTTTAACATAGTAAATTTCACGCAAACTTTATGGACACCATGTATAATTATACTAAAGTTTGAGATGTGTGACACTAATCTGTTATGGTTTAAACCAGCTCAAGAAAATGCTGTTTATATTCAAAGTAGAGCTGGAGGCTTTCTATTCCTGAGTTTTTGGCACTTTCTCACCATGTTGCCTATAGGCCAGAAATATTAATATCTATATAGCTTTTAAATATATATTTTGGGTGTGGGGAGGTAGAGTCTTGCTCTTCTGTCTAGGCTAGAGTGCAGTGGCATGATCATAGTTCACTTGAACTCCTGGGCTGAAGTGATCCTCCACCTCAGCCTACTGAGTAGCTGGGCCTGCAGAAATACACCACTGTGCATGGCTAATTTTTTTTTTTTGAGACAGAGTCTCAAGCTGTCACCCTGGGTAGAGTGTCGTGGCATCACAGCTCACAACAACCTCAAACTCTTGGGCTTAAGCAATCCTCTTGCCTCAGCCTCCTACGTAGCTGGGACTACAGGCACCGGCCACAACCCCCAGCTATTTTTTGGTTGTAGTTGCCATTGTTTGGCAGGCCAGGCTAGATTTTAACCCACCAGCTCTAGTGTATGTGGCTGGCACCCTACCCACTTGAGCTATAGGTGCCAAGCCTAATTTTTTTATTTTTTGTAGAGATAGGGTCTCTTTGTGTTGTCCAAGCTGGTCTCTAACTCCTGGCCTCATGATCCTTCTGCTTCAGCCTCCAAAATTGCTAGAATCATAGGCATGAGCCACTGTACTCGGCTGCTTTTAAATATTTTGATAAGAGGAGTGGCAGCAGGGGTTGGGGGTCCTAATCAATGGTGGCAAGGCCTGGTGGGGGTGAAGGTACCCTCCATAACACTTTCCAGCCAGGTCTGGACATGCCCAACATTGTAAGCCTCATGGTGGAACATCTTTTGAACCCATTTGAATGGAAGGCTGAAAGCTCTACCTAATGTTAATAGAAGAGATTATGCAAACAATACAACACTCTGAACAAACACTAAAAACAGCTCTCATCTCAACAAACCCAGCGCTTATATCATAGTATGAAAAGTTAAATGCTGGGGCTCAGTGCCTATAGCACAGTGGTTATGGTGCCAGCTACATGCACAGAGCTTGGTGGGTTTGAATCCAGCCCAGGCCAATTAAACAATGACAATTGCAACCAAAAAATAGCTAGGCATTGTGGTGGGTGCCTGTAGTGCCAGCTACTTGGGAGGCTGAAGCAAGAGAATTGCTTAAGCCCAAGAGTTTGAAGTTGATGTGAGCTGTGACGCCATGGCACTCTACCAAAGGCAACATAGTGAGAGTCTGTCTCAAAAAAAAAAAAGGAAAAGAAAAATTCGATGCTGGGAAACAGTGTTTGTTTATTTTATTTTATTTATTTATTATTATTTTGAGACAGAGCCTCAAGCTGTCCCCCCAGGTGGAGTGCTATGGCATCACAGCTCACAGCAACCTCCAACTCCTGGGCTCAAGCAATTCTCCTGCCTCAGCCTCCCAAGTAGCTGGGACCACAGGTGCCTGCCACAACACCTGGCTATTTTTTGGTTGCAGCCATCATTGTTGTTTGGCAGGCCTGTGTTGGATTTGAACCCACCACCTTAGGTGTATGTGGCTGGCGCCTTAGCCACTTGAGCCACAGGCGCCGAGCCTATTTTATTTATTTTTGTTTTTTTGAGACAGAATCTTATTATGTTGCCCTCGGTAGAGTGCTGTGGTATCATAGCTCACAGCAACCTCAAACTCTTGGGCTCAAGCTATTCTCTTGCCTCAGCCTCCCAAGTAGCTATGATTACAGGCGCCCGCCACAATGCCTAGTTGTGTTTTTTGTTTGTTTGTTTGTTTAGCAGTCCTAGGCTGGGATCGAGCCCACTAGCCTTGGAGCATGTGGCCAATGCCCTAACCACTGAGCTATGGGTGCCCACCCCAACAAGGTGTTCTTTAGAGTCAGTAATAACACACAAAACCTACAAATTCATGCAAGGCACATTCTGGAGTTCATAAAAACGAAGAAACCTAAAGATGCCTTCTGTCTTGTGGGGATAACAATGATTGATCTTTACCCAAGAGATTCCTGGAACTTCTATTTTTTAGAGACAGAGTCTCACTTTGTCACCCTTTGTAGAGTGCTGTGGTGTCACAGCTCACAGCAACCTCCAGCTCCTGGGCTTAGGTGATTCTCTTGCCCCAGCCTCCCAAGTAGCTGAGACCACAGGGCGCCCGTCATAACACCCAGCTATTTTTTGTTGGAGTTTGGCCAGGGCCGGGTTTGAACCCACCACCTTCGGTATATGGGGCTGGCACCCTACTCACTGAGCCACAGGCACTGCCCAAGGAATTTGGCTTTGAATAGGCCTCTTTGACAGATAATGTGGGGATATTCAGTTTTGCCAGGTATGTTGGTAATTTTTAAAGTTTGCGCATGAAGGCAAAGTGAAGAAGCTCCAGAAAACATCTTCAAGTGAGTATTCTATTTTTTATAGCTATTATATTCCTGATGTAACTAGTGTTTTGCTGCTTAGATCTTATAAGACCTTAACCCGTGAGACTGAACACATATTTGGACTGTGACACCCCCAGTGGCTTCCATGCCTAATGCAAGGTTCCAACCACTAGGAAGAAGCTGACCAGTGCCCTCTAAACTTTTGCCCTATCTGCTTACGAAAGTTGCAGTATGCTATTGGCTTCAGCATTGTAGAAATGCGTAAAGCTCTAGTAAGATAGATCAATGATGAATCAGCTGACAAACCTGCAGTAACTCTAAAACATGGTCATGAAGATGATGAGAATTTATCAAAACCTGCTGAAGCCTTTAAGGAATGGAAAGTGTGGGTAAAGAAGTGCCTTGTTGGCCTTGCCCAGTGGCTCACACCTGTAATCCTAGCACTCTGGGAGACCAAGGCGGGTGTATTGACTGAGCTCACAGGTTCGAGACCAGCAGAAGCCAGAGTGAGACCCCTCTCTCTAAAAATAGGCAGGCATGTGGCAGGTGCCTATAGGCCCACATACTCAGGAGGCTGAAGCAAGAGAATCGCTTAAGCCCAAGAGTTTGAGTTCCTGTGAGCTGTGATGCTACAGTACTCTACTGAGAGCGACACAGTGAGATTCTGTCTCCAAAAAAAAAAATGCCTTCCACCCCAGAAGTGCATTAATGTACATAGTTACCATTCAATAAAAAAAAAAAATGCCTTCCTGTTTTCCAAAAATAAAGACCTTAAACTAGGAGTAATTAAAATAAATACTTGCACATTTTGCATAAAAATATTTTTTTAAAAAATATTTTGATAAATGATTTATCTGTCATATTTTCCTTCCTTCCTTCCTTCTTTCTTTCTCTCTTGCAGTTTTTAGGTGGGGCTGGGCTTGAACCCACCACCCCTGGTATATGGGGCTGGCGCCCTACTCCTTTAGCCACAGCGCTGTCCTCTTTCTTTCTTTTTGACAGAGTCTCACTGTGTTGCCCTCAGTAGAGTCCTGTGGTGTCCCAGCTCACAGCAACCTCAAACTCCTGGGCTCCAGCGATCCTCTTGCCTCAGCCTCCTGAGTAGCTGGGACTATAGGTGCCTGCCACAATACCTGGCTATTTTTAGAGACAGGGTCTTGCTCTGGCTCAAGGTGGTCTCCAACTCATGACCTCAGATCATGCGTCTACCTCGGCCTCCCAGAGTGCTAGGATTACACTGTCGTATTTTCTTTTTCTTTTTTTTTTTTGAGACAGAGTCTCACTATGTCACACTCTGACTCTGTGTGCCGTGGCATCACAGCTCACAGCAACCTCAAACTCTTGGGCTTAAGCAATTCTCTTGCCTAGCCTCCCAGTAGCTGGGACTATAGGCGGCCCCCCGGCCCCTGCCCAGTGCCCAGCTATTTTCTGTTGCAATTGTCATTATTGTTTAGCAGGCCTGGGCCGGGCTCAAACCTTCCAGCCTAGGTGTATGTGGCTGGCACCGTAACCGCTGTGCTACAGGCGCCAAGCCAACTGTTATATTGTCTTTTTTTTTTATAGAGACAGTTTCACTTTATCGCCCATGGTAGAGTGCCGTGGCATCACACAGCTCACAGCAACCTCCAACTCCCAGGCTTAGGCAATTCCCTTGCCTCAGCCTCCTGAGTAGCTGGGACTACAGGTGCCCACCATAACGCCTGGCTATTTTTTGTTGCAGTTTGTCCGGGGCTGGGTTTGAACCCATCACCCTAGGTATATGGGGCTGGTGCCCTCCCACTGAGCCACAGGTGCTGCCTGTCATATTTTCTTAAATAGAAGGTTACAATGTTTGGTAAACTACAGGGTGTCCCAAAAGTCACCCCTAAAACCACCATACCTAGGGACAATGAGAAATTGTAACTAAATGTACTTTTACCTTTACATTACAAAATATTCTTTGCATGTTGGCTACCTCTTCATAAAATTTTGTAATGAATATTTTGCAAAGAAAGGTACTTTTTTTTGTTTTTTTGAGATAGAATCTCATTTTGTCACACTCAGTAGAGTGCTCTGGCATCATAACTCACAGCAACCTCAAACTCTTGGGCTCAAGCAATCCTCCTGCCTCAGCCTCCTTAGTAGCTGGGACTACTAATGCAAGGTTCCTACCACTCAGAAGAAGCTGAGCAGTGCCCTCTAAATCTTTGCCCTATCTACTTACAGGCACCCACTAACAAGCCCAGCTAGTTTTTCTATTTTTAGAAGAGAAGGAGGGCAGCACCTGTGACTCAGTGAGTAGGGCACCAGCCCCATATACCGAGGGTGATGGGTTCAAACCTGGCCCCAGGCTCAGCACCAGGTGAGCCACATACACCTAAGGTGGCGGGTTCAAATCCAGCCCAGGCCCGCCAAACAATAATGATGGCTGCAACCAAAAAAAATAGCCAGGTGTTGTGGCGGGCATGTGTGGTCCCAGCTACTTGGGAGGCGGAGGCAGGAGACTCACTTGAGCCCAGGAATTGGAGGTTGCTGTGAGCTGTGATGCCATGGCACTCTACCCAGGGGGACAGCTTGAGGCTCTGTCTCAAAATAATAATAATAATAATGATTACAAGAAAAAATAAAAACAAAAATAAAAATAATTACAGTATAAAAATAATATGTGTGACCAAATCAATGCTTCTTTTCTGACTTCTATCCTCCTCTGTCCTTTGTAGCTACCCTTCATGATACAATCTTCAATGATTCTCATTTCTGAGAATTTCTTACCATATGTCATTAATTTTTAGACATTCGGTTTTTGATATTTTAAACATCTCTATAATTGAGATTTATCTTATAGTTAATGACATCTCCTAGCTAGGCACCCCTCAGGAGATAGTTGTCATTGACTGCACGTATGAAAACATTAAAAAGGCCAACAGGGCAGTTCCTGTGGCTCAGTAAGTAGGGCGCCGGCCCCAGTTACCGAGGGTGGCTGGTTCTAACCCAGCCCCGGCAAAACTGCAACAAAAAAATAGCCGGGCATTGGGCAGCACCTGTGGCTCAAAGGAGTAGGGCACCAGCCCCATATACCAGAGGTGGGGGGTTCAAACCCAGCCCTGGCCAAAATCAGCAAAAAATAAATAAAAATAACTGGGCATTGTGGCAGGCGCCTGTAGTCCCAGCTATTTGGGAGGCTGAGGCAAGAGAATCACTTAAGCCCAAGAGTTAGAGATTGCTGTGAGCTGGGATGCCACTGCACCCTACCCAGGGCAATAAAGTGAGACTCTGTCTCAAAAAAATAAATAAAAAGGGTGGCACCCTGTGGCTCAGGGAGCAGGGCACTGGCCCCATATGCTGAGGGTGGCAGGTTCAAACCTGGCCCCAGCCGAACTGCAACAAAAAAAAAATAGCTGGGCGTTGTGACAAGCACCTGTAGTCCCAGTTACTCGGGAGGCTGAGGCAAGAGAATCGCCTAAGCCCAGGAGTTGGATATTGCTGTGAGCTATTTGATGCCACGGCACTCTGCCGAGGGTGATAAAGTGAGACTCTGTCTCTACAAAATAAGTAAATAAATAAATAATAAAATTAAATTAAAAAGCCACCAATAAAATTTGTACAATAGGGTGAGTGCAGTGGCTCATGCGTATAAGCCTACCACACTGGGAAGCTAAGGCAGAAGGATCTCTTGAGCACAGGAGTTTTTGAGATTAGCCTGAGCAAAAGCATGACTCCTCTTCTTTTTTTTTTTTCATAGTGACAGAGTCTCACTTTATCGCCCCTGGTAGGGTGCTGTGGCTTCATAGCTCACAGCACTCTCAAACTCCTGGGCTTAGGCAATTCTCTTGCCTCAGCCTCCCGAGTAGCTGGGACTACAGGTGCCCACCACAACGCCTGGC